GACCTGTGAATATTACATAATGGGTTTTTTTTCTTTCTTCCTCATCATAATGAGGTTTTTGCTTTTCTTCCCCATTTATTTCTTTTTCTTTTGATGTTTCAGCCTTTTCATTTTTCTTTTCTTCTTTGCCTTTTTCTGCAAATAGTATGGCTTTTATTTGGCTGATTTCTTTTTCTTTTTTCTTTATCTGCTCAGAGAGTTCTTCTACTTGTTTTTCTAGCGTATTTAGAGTGTCTTCTAGGACTGGTCTGATTGCTTCCATTCTCGTGTTAATGTATCTGCTAAGTAGTTTTCTTTTCCTGAAATATATACAGATATATAATCAAACTGTTGTGCTTATAAGCTCTATCTTAAAAGTCTGCCTTTGTTGTAAGATTCTTTTATTCGATATTTTGTAAAATCTTTTGTATACAAACTGTCTGTTTGAAAAATAAATTTGACTACTTGTAAATCAAGTTTAAATTTTTCCAAAGCATTTATAAAAGCCAATGTTTCTTTTTCATGTGTTGTATAGTTGCGTTCTGCTTGCTTAAAAGTTCTTGATACCCATTTGGATAACAGTAATTGCTTCTTATTGGTTTTATCCAATACTAATTGCATAGAATCATTAGATTCACTATTTTCATCCAAACTATCTTTCGTTATCCTTCGTATAAAGGATTTAACTTCAGATGGTTTGTTGTTCATGATAAACTTATTAAACTCTTCATATGCATCTGGAATTTCTTGAAGGACTGCTCCCCAAGTATCCTGACTTGCATCAGTGTTTAAAATAAGTAAATCACTAGGCTTTGGTAGATAAAGTCGTGGTAAATGAGTACATAGTCTTTTTAAGGACTGTACTGCTCTAGTTGCATCATCTGTCCATTTCCATGGTACTTTTTCTGAAATCATTTTCTGTAGTAACTCTCTTTCTTTTGCAAGACTTTTTATAAAACCTTTTTCTCCAATATATGTTAAACATCCAAGAAATTTTTGAATTTGATTTATGTTTTGAAGCTGATCTGGAAATTGGTGTATTTTTTCAAGTAGATGTTTTTGAGGTTCTATATAGCCTCCTTCGACTATTTTCATTCCCAAAAATTCTGTTTGGCTTTGCAAATTTTTGCTTTTTCTTTACTTAAAATAACTCCTTTATTTCCTAATTGTATTAAAACCTTTGCAAGTTCTTTTAAATGATTTTCCTTTGATCCTTGTGTAAAAACAATTATATCATCTATATAAGCAAGACTTACTGATTCTAATCCTTTTAGATTACTATCCATAAATCGTTGATATATGCTAGGTGCTTGTTTAAGTCCAAATGGCATAACATTGTATTCATAGTGGTTTTGAGGTGGACAACTAAATGCTGTTAACAGTTTAGTTTCTTCATGTAATCTTAACTGCCAATATCCTGATTTAGCATCTAAAGTACTATACCATTTTGCCTTTTTAATTCGACTAAAAATATAATCTTGTCTTGGTAATGCATCTCCTTTAGTGGCTTTATTCATTTCTTTGTAGTTTATAACCATTCTACGTTTTCCTCTTTTTAATTCATTATGATTTTCTACATAAAATGCTGGTGCACTATGTGGACTTGTACTAGGTTGTATAATACCATTTTCTAACATCTTAGTAGTTTCTTCTTGAAATTCCTTAACATCTATTTCTGTATATGGTATTCTATTTGGCACATTGACTTCTTTGCTTGGATCTATTAGTTCGATTTTTACTATCATGCTATTTGTATTTTTACTTGGATCTAATGGATTTTGACTACATATGTTTTCTAATAACTGATTAACATGTTCTTCTAATGTTATACTTATTACTTTATAAATTTGAAGTGAAATTTTTCTTAATATCTCCCCTCGTATGAAAGAAGATGTGTTATATATTTTTGTAGTAATTATTTTACTAGATTGTGTATCTAGTTGTGGACATCTAAGACTTATACTATTTAGTCTTTGAATAAATGGGCTATACAACTGAAGAAAGTTATTTCCTATTATAAATGGTAAACCTGTATTTTGCTTATAAAGACTTGGTAAAGGAAATCTTTTTCCTTCTATTAACAATACTAAATCTGTTGCTCTATAATCAATATTTATTGTCTTATTATTTGCAATTCTTACTATAATTGGTTTGTCTAATTTTTTCCAATATTTACTAGGTAATATAGATTCTTTTGCTAGACATATTGTTGCACCTGTGTCTATATATGCTAACAGAAATTTGTTAAATAATTTAATTTTTATAAATGAACTATTTTTACTCATCTTCTGATTCAGATGATTCCAAATCACTATATGTTTCTGATTCTAAATCATATATATCGAAGTCTAATAGTTCACCTTCTTCGTATTCTTCTTCTATAGGTTCATAACATAGAGAAAATATCATTTTTTATTTTCTTTCTTTTTTCTGGAATGTTTTTAGGGCATTCATTTGCGTAGTGTCCTATTTCTTGACATTTCCAACATCTACAATTCTTTTTTTTCTTAGGACAATATTTGGGTTTTCCTAAGTATTTTTCCTGTTTTCTAAACTTTCCTTTATATTTTGCTTTCCACGGTTTTCTAAATGTTTTATATCTTCTTGGTCTATATCGTTTGTTAAACTTATTGTATTTATAATATTTTTTCTTTCTATATGGTTTATAACAACCAAATTCTTGCGGTACACTTTCTAATTGTTTACAACATCTTGAATCGACTTTAGTCATTTCATGGTGTTCTATTTTCCTTATACAAAGTTCATCTCTATATTCTTTTGCATATTTTTCTAAAATTCCTAAAGTTTTTTCTTCTCTTGTTTCATTAATCTTCTTCTGAATATATTTATTCATTTCATATTTAAGTTTACTTTCAACAATTTCTATTAATCCTGATCGATCCTTAATTTTATAAAATTTTCTCTTACTTGACAGAAGAAATTTTTGATATAACATATATTACATAACTTCATGTTAGTTAGAAATCTAACTACCTTATCTTTTTGTGTTTCTTTTGACTGTTGTCCTGTAATTCCTAAAAATTCTCTTAATAGATTTTTTGCTAATTCTCTTAAAGCTGTTATTTTATATTCTGCTCATGTTTCTGAACCACTGGCTTCGAGATTAAGTAGGATTTGAGTATTTTCTAGATAATCAAATAATACTCCTGATATTTTATACCTTATATAATTGGAAAAATCTGTTAATGTCATTCCATTTATCATTGAATCATTAGTTTGGACTAATAATTTTAATTGATTAGTCCAAGTGACTATTAAATCTTCTGCATTGGTTGCACAATCTATATTTAGTATTCCATTAGATAGATTTCTTTCTTTTTCTAAATATCCTGGTGGTATATTTTTCTTAATTTTTTCTTGATGATAACTATAATCATTTCTGTGTATAAAATCTCTAAAACTGCTTTCTACGTAATTATTTTGTGAACTAGATGCTTCATTATTGTTTGTTCTAGGTCGCTTTGGTGATAATGCTAGTGTTGTATGAGGTTTTTGATCAGTCATATTAAATGTTGGTTCGTCTTCTCTTCACTATCTATTCCGTAGATTATTCCTTGTTTATCCTCATCATCTATTTTTGTCATTCTAGTTTCTTCAATATTGTATTTTTCTAATAATTGGGTTAATCTATCTATGTCATCCATTAGAACTTGTTGGTGGTTCTATTTGAATTGGTTTAAATAACTTTTTCCGCATTTTTTCTTTTTGTATTAAATCTTGTAGTTCTTTTACTGATCCTTTTATTTCTTCTAATTTTTTTAATGTTTCTAATTGAGTTTTGTTTATTATTTCTATAAGTATTCCTATTTGTTCAGAGACTCTTGGTGGTTCACTCATAATTTTTCTAAGATATTATTATTATTATTATTATTATTATTATTATTATTATTATTATTATCTATTTTTATTTTTAATTATTTGCCTTTTATGAAATTAATAGTATTTCTATTTATACTAATTTGCCCATAGCAAAATCATGTGTGGATATAGCAAGAAATTTCCACAAAATGGCCACATGTCTATGTTTTATTGGATATTGCAAAAAATGGGTAGAATCCATACGGGTAGCATGAAATAATTCGCATTGGAGATGCAAATTCCTCTTCTTCTTTTTTTCTTTACAACATTTGTCTAGCGCCGAGAAGATACAAGTTGAACTGGGGAGTGTTTTAAATACCGTACTGGTCATTACACCGGACGAGCCAACGGTACGCGGTTCAATCGGTTCGACCGGTTTTACCGTCTATTTTACCGGTATTAATAAATATTAAATTAATTTGATATTACAATATATATAATGTACAAAACTAACTTTAATTAATACTAAAATTAATTAATATCTAATAACAATGTAAACATATTAAAATGATGTATAAAACTTTCAATTTATAGAAAAAAATTAATAAAAATATATTAAAAATATTTTTTTAAAAAAAATTGACATAAACCGGTATTTTGACCGGTATTTTGGCCGATAAAACCGTTATTTTCTGACATGAAACCGGTATAAACCGATATTTTGGCAAAAATGGTATTTTGCGTGTAACTGTATCGGTCGGACTACCGGTATCCGATATAACCGGTAATACCGGCCGGTACGGTACAATATTTAAAACATTATTAAGTATAAATCAACCAACCACCCCCCCCCAAAAAAAAGAAGGGCCACAAAACACATTAACAAGAGCCCAAATATTTGGCCCAGTAGCAACTACACACTGGTTGGGTCCCTCTTTACAGCCCAAATACGATGATATAGGTCCCTATGCAGCCCAACAGAAACTGCCCAAATAAAAGCCTGACCATTTCCACCTCCCGCACACGAAGAAAGCTAGTGAGAGAAAGTAAAGAGCTCAGAGTCTAACGGTTCCCTTCTGGAGATCCATATATATAATGAATATAAACCTCGACATTCATATCCTGCAGTTTCCATCAGAGGCTTTTATTACATTCCTCCAATGATCTCGAATTAATTCGTGAAAAATTAAGGATTGTGAAAAATGTTGTCTTTGGGAACATCGAAAGAAATTCTAGAAATCGCGAAATTCGCAGTGTACGTCGGTGTGCCGATTGGGCTGATGTACTTGTTCGCAGCCACCAACAACAAAAATCTCCAGAAAGTCATGGGAAATGTAAGAATTCATCTCTGATTTTGCTATCGACATATGTTGAATTTTAGTTTACATTATTAGCCAGTTTTTATTTTGCTGACTACTGTTGGGCACAAATTGAGATGTTTGTTGCACTTGATCATCATTTTTAGGTCAACCAGTTTTGTGAATGCATAATTAGTAAGTTTGTGGGCAAATTTTGGGAAGTTGTAAGTAGTGAAGATAATTCATTTCTGCAGAGGGTTTTCTAAGAACCAACTGTTGTTAGGCTTTGTCTGTGATCCGACAGCCATACTTTTCGATAAATAAATATACATACTTTCGAACTAAAATGTTAGTATATTCTAAGAAAACAATATAAACAAACACATTCATATTATA